CAGCTGCTCTACTTTCTTTCTGGTTTTTCCACCAGAACACAGCTTGTGACTCCAGAGAGATGCCAAGGGTGATCTGGGGATACAAAGGACAAGAATGACCATTTGAGGCTTGATGGGCCTGTGTGGCTGTGTGCTGCTGACCACCTGACACTTAGCATCCATTCTAACCAAAAATGGAATCCAAACTGCTCTGAGGACCTGTTCTTTCAGAGTTCTCCTGGAACTCTGCTCTGGAACAAAGGCCTTCCTCTTTCTATTGAAACAGTATATCCAACATGAAATAGGTAAGGAAAAAGTAAAAGAATTTGTTGTATCAGAGAATTTGCCCTTTCTGACCCCTACTGACCTAGAACAGCACACACAAGTACAAACAGATGTTATCAATCTAATTCCACATACTGTTTATAACACAAATGGAGTAACTCTTCTCATTGCTTCCAAGGAACATTCAACTGCTTGCCAATCTCTTGATATTCACAACACACACACACACACACACACACACACACACACACACACACACTGTTCTGGATCAAGGGCAAGGAAGGGTCATGAGGGATGAAAGTTCTATGTTTAGCACACACACACACACACACACACACACACACTGTTCTGGATCAAGGAAGGGTTGTGAGGGATTAAAGCTATGTGATTAAGTTGAAGAGCCCCAAGGCATAGTGAGTTTGTTTTACCTTATAAGCAACCTGAGATTTGTTAAATGATCTCAAAATGTAAGATTAACTTTTTGGTTACAACGTTAAATAAAAGTCTTTTGCCCGAAAAGTCACTCCTACAGGCCTGGAGCTGAACCTTGGGGATCTGTTAGCAGCCCCAGACAAGCCATGAACACAGGCAGGTCCTGGGGAAAGGAAGGAGCTCCCCTCCCCACCACTGGCACATGTTACTCTATTTTTAAGATTCCTCTTTGGAAGGCAGCTGGCCTTGGAACACATGTAGTTTCTGTGCTTCAAGATGAAATATGCAGCTTGACACATTGGAGAATCCACACTGCCTATCCTTGATGTCTCAATAGTCACACCCCTGCCAACCTGCAACCCTATAGGATACCAAATAATGCTGATAAACATGGGCAGGTATGGCGGCACACACCAGCAATGCCAGCACTTGGGACAATGAGAGGGAGGATCTGAAGTTCAAGGCTAGCCTCAGCAACTTTGTGAGACCCTTTCTCAAAAATAAAACATAAAGGCAACTTAGACTTTGTCTCAATAAAAATCTTAAATATTCTTTTTATTTTATGTATATGAGTATATTGCCTGCATGTATATACGTGCAACCATGTCACACAATGCCTGTGGAGGTCAGAAAAGGGCATCGGATCCCCTGGAACTGGAGTTACAGGTGGTTGTTAGCCACCGTGTGGGTGCTGGGAACCAAACCTTGGTTCTTTGCAAGAGCAGCCAATGCTTTTACGGCTGAGCCATCTCTCCAGCCCAGAGAGTAAATGCACTTGCTGCCAATTTACACAACCTGAGTTACACATGCTAGAAAGAGAGAACTAACTCACAAATTGTCCTCTGACACACACACACACACATACACACACATATACACACACACATACACACATACACATACACACACATACACACATACACACACATACACACACACCCTATAGCACACAAATGCCCACACAAATACACATAAATAAAAATTTAAAATGTAGCAAAAATTTTAAAAGAGAAAAAGATAAACAGATAAATGAATAAAATGGGCTAGAGAGGTAGCTCAATGGTAGACTGCTCACCTAGCATGTGTGAGGTCCTGGGTTCAATCCAGTACTACAAAAATAAAAAAGAAACAAAATAAATAAATGTTTGCTGTGATAAGTCTCTGAGTTTGGGATGTTTTGTTATGTAGCAATATAATAACTGTGAATTTATTTAACATATTTAAATTTTTATTTTATTTTTAATTATGTGCATTTTGCGGGGAATGTAATGCGCACATGAATACGGGTGCCAGCAGAGGCCAGAGAGGCCAGAGAAGGTGTCCAGTTCCAAGCTGGAGTTACAGGTGGTTGTGTGCTGCCTGACGTGGATGCCAAAACCCAGTCTTCTGAAAGAGCAGCAAGTGCTCTTAACTGCTGAGCCGTCTCTCCAGTCCCTTAGTTAACTCTTTTTGTTGTTGTTGACTTTTTTTTTTTTTTAAAGACAGGGTCTCCCTGTAACCCAGCTGTCCTGGAACTCACTATGTAGACCAGGCTGGCCTTGAACTCACGGAGATTCGCCTGCCTCTGCCTCCCTAGTGCCAGGATTATAGGTGTGCACCACCACGCCCGGCCCCACTTTTTAAACTTATTAAGGAGCCTTCTTGCCCAGCAGTGGCCTGGAGGTCAGGGGAAAGAAGTGTTGGAACCTATTGGACATGGTAAGTGGGTGGTGCTGCTCCTGACTGAGCTCAGTTGTGTTTCTTCTCATTCACTGAGTGCCAGCTGCATCTGGACAGTGCTGGGGAGACATGAGGTCAGTTATCTAACCAAAGATATCAGCTCTTAGGAGTGCTCCTCCAGGAGCCCTTCATTTAGTTATTCTTTGAACTCAACTGTCGCACACAGATAACAGATAAGAACCCTGTGTGGTGGTGGGGATTCAGCCTTGCCCATATCACACAGAGAACCCTGAAAAGCTAAAACCATCTCGTACTCTAGCTGCATTTGGAAACACAGACCCCATTAGGGGTCCTTGGTCCTTGCTGCATGGGGAATGGATCTGCCAGACATGAAGGGTCAGGGTCCAGGCCAGCATCCCCAAGCCTGGAGCAGTGGTGACTCCCCGCAGCCAAATCAGGTTTCCTGGTCCCAACATAAGCTAGTCAGAGCTTCAGTTTATCAGAATGAGACTTGAGCCACCAGAATTGTGGCTGAGTTACCTATGGGTATAGCTGGACCCAGGCTTGGCCCTCCTGCAAGATGCTCACTGACCTGGTGTTTACCGAGGGCTCCTGATGGGGAAGCAGGAACTGAGGAGCCAAACAATTTGAGATTACAGGTTTTGCGGAAGAGCCTTCCTGGCTGGGTACAGGAAGCACATGGTCACGGGGGGCCCTCTGCAAGGGTCTGCACCCTCCTTGTGCATGGCCAGGCCCTCCAGGTGGCATTTTCCTAGCTGGTTTTAAGCAAATGCCTTGTCATAATATTTGTGCTGAGTTGCCATTTATGATTTTTTAATCCACGCTATCGCAAAAGAAAGCTTTGGAAAGAAGGTTGGCTTAGCCAAAAGGTCAGGGCTAGAAAACCAAACATGAGCTCAAACTGACTTTGAGATGGCCTCTCCCAGGTGGTTGCAGCTCCTGCTGCCGAAGGGACAGACTCTGTGGCCAGTGCAGGATAGTGGCTGCGGCCCTCCTCTGGGTCCCCTGATGGAGGAGGCCAGGTGGCATGGTTGGTGGTTGGTCTTGGGTGAGGCCAAGGGCACCATGGGGTAGTGAGGTGTGGGCCTGGTATGGTCTAATGACACTTCCTATTGTGCATGGACCTGTAAGTCCTACCACTCCCTACACTGTTCACTTACAGGTGCATAGTATCTATCAGAGAGTAAGCCTACTCTCATCTGGGATGGTTTTCAAGCCTGCCTTCATTGCCTCACACCTACAAAGTTGATGGGCAATCAACTCAACAGCCTGCACTGCCCAGGAGAACCTGCCTGCCACCCGGGACCCATCAGCACTGATTTAGCTTTCCCTTCAACAAATGAGGAGGCTGTGCCTCGGAGGAGGGATGCTTGCCCAAATACTGAAGGTCCCAATTCAGCCCGTCCCTGCCAGACTCTAGAAAACGCAGTTATTTCCTTTGAAGACAAAATGTTTAAAGCCTGCTTTTCATGTATTAAGACTCCCTGTTGAGAAGATCAGCTTCTGGTTGAGCAGGCAAGCCTGAGGCAGCCAGGAGCAGAAGGTAAGCATGGGCCACCTGGTCATCTCTCATTACTTTGAGCATTTCTATGCTGGCCCAATCTGGGTCTCTTCTCAGAGACTCAGCTCTGGGTCCCTGGTCTGGGCCTCATACCTTCTCTCAATAGACTATGATTGCCCACAGCCCACCCAGGTTTCCTGGGTCCAGCCCAGCAGGTACAGACTGCTCGGTCCATGCAGAGACTATAACCCAGAATCCAGTATAATGAGTTGTTGGGGGAAGGTGTACAGGAGGGTGGAGAGGGCCCAGTGGGCACCTGGGGCAAGCTGGTGTTCGCAGCAAACCTGGATGCTCTTGCCAAGGCCCCTGCCTGAGAGAACAACGGAAATGCAAAGGCCTTGTGTTCCCTTGGTCCAAATCAGGGGCAGTGTCCCCTAGGGAGAGCTCAGCTGGGCTGAGTGCACTGCTGGAGTCTTCCTACAAGGTCAGCTGCCTTGCTGTGTCACCCACAAACCTGAGCTAACTCTCTGAAACCCTGGAGGGCACCAGCTCTGACAGTGACTGCCAGTCCAGGTGGCTGCAAGGGGACAGAGGGGCTGGTCACACCCCACAGCAGCACAGGACCCAGATTGTCTTAGGGAGCTCAGCTACATGGTGGGCCCGCTCTCTGCTTCCCCTTATCCGGTCCCTCCCAGGCTAGAGAACCCCTAGGCACTGAACCTTGGGCGCCCTACAGGCACCCAGGAGGAAGGGGGTTGAACCAGCTCTGCAGAGACCCAGCCATGCCAGCGGGAGGCCACCTCCTTCCCCGCCTTCCCAAGTCCCTGAGTGAGCTGGAGGCAACTGGGAGCAGCTGCCTTCTTGGGGGCGAGAGAAGTTGGAGCAGCCGCCCCAGGAAGGGTGACCGTAAAGACCCAAGGTCCCCTCACTCTGCCACACCCCATCAAGGATCCTGGTTCCCCGGGGTGCTCAGCCCAGATTGTTCCTGGGAGCGCGCAGGGAAGACTGTCAGCCAGCACCCGGGTGGGGAGGGGACAGTGGCTGGGGCCGCCTCCCTCCCTCTCTATCAACCCCCTCCACTGCTGGGCGCGCCGCACAGCCGCCAATTCAGTGGAGGCGCGAGGAGCCAGGCGGGCTCCCGCGCAGCAGGAGGTGTTGCGGAGCCCGGGTGCGTGGAGAGCGCCAAGCAGGAGAGAGAAAGCGAGGGAGGTGAGCGCGCCGGGCCGCGGTACGTGCTGCGCTCAGGGCCACAGGCTCGCGTAGCGAAGCCCGAAGGGGCCGGGCGTTGTTCTGGGGAACCTGCTGCCACCCAGGCGCGCACAGAACCAACCACAGAGTCTGGAGGTCGGAAGTAGCCCTGATTGCGGGGCAAGCTTGCGGTCCGGGGTCCCCCAGGAAGCGCGGAGCCAGAACGCAGAGCCCGGGATCTGGAGATTGGAAAGCGGAGCCGGGAGCCGGAGGCTGGTCGCAAGCCCCTGCGCTCCGGGGCGGCGTCCCGATTGCGCGCTCGTGGCTGGACGGCGCGCCCACCTTGGCTTCCCCGACCTCTCCTCCCGTGCCTCCTCGTCTGCCCCTGGCGGGACTTCCACCTGTGAAAGCGCAGGACAAAGCCCCAGAGCCTGCGCCCACCATGCGCCTCAACAGCTCCACGCCGCCGGGCGCCCCTAGCACGCCGGGCACCGAGCCCTTCCAGCGGCTGCAGTCGGGGCTGGAGGCGGTGCTCCTGGCCCTGGGCTTGGGCAATGGATCTGGGAACGCGTCTGAGCCCGTCCTGGCAGCGCCCAGCAGCGACCTGGATGTGAACACTGACATCTACTCCAAGGTGCTGGTGACCGCCGTGTACCTAGCGCTCTTTGTGGTGGGCACTGTGGGCAACTCAGTGACAGCGTTCACTCTAGCTCGGAAAAAGTCACTGCAGAGCCTGCAGAGCACGGTGCACTACCACCTGGGCAGCCTGGCGCTGTCTGACCTGCTCATCCTGCTGCTGGCCATGCCTGTGGAGCTGTACAATTTCATCTGGGTGCACCACCCCTGGGCTTTCGGGGATGCAGGCTGCCGTGGCTACTACTTCCTGCGTGACACTTGCACCTATGCCACTGCACTCAATGTGGCCAGCCTGAGCGTGGAACGCTACCTGGCCATCTGCCACCCCTTCAAGGCCAAGACTCTCATGTCCCGGAGCCGCACCAAGAAGTTCATCAGTGCCATCTGGCTGGCCTCGGGGCTGCTGGCTGTGCCTATGCTCTTCACCATGGGTCAACAGAACCGCAGTGCTGATGGCCAGCACCCTGGTGGCCTGGTATGCACACCCATCGTGGACACCGGTACTGTCAAGGTCGTCATCCAGGTGAGAGGGTCTAGGTGGGGATTCTCTGGGCTATGCCATGTTAGAAGGCACACCACGTCAGCCACTGCTCCCGTCTGGCTGACTCTTTCCATTGCAGCCATCTATAGACTCTTGGAAGCATTTTGCAGTCACCTCGCAGGCGCCGGTGAGTCACGGTACCACCTGGGGAGACACAGCAACAGTGTTGTCCTGTGGGAAGGAACTATGTCTCAGCGGTACTTTCTTCTCCCTTGTCCCAAAGTCTGCCCCAGTGACATCACTCTGGGTGCTGACAGTTGAGAAAGGCCTGAGCAAGGCTGCTCCTGGAGGGCTGGGAATGGTCAGGGCACCCCAGAGCAGCTGGACCCTCCTTTCCCACCCTTCAGTCCCAGTGGCCTGCCCCACCCTACTTTATCCCTTCTGTTGAAGGGGGCTTGAGCCCCAGTCAGTGACTTCCCTCCATGGGCATGAGGGCTGTCATCAGCTTCTCAGGAGGCCCCAGCACTGCCCCTCTGCAGCAAGATCCCCCAGATTGGCTTCCCAATGCCTCCTGGCTCCCTCACTATGACCCAAACCCAGGAGTTGGAGCTTAACTTTGGACTTGTTTCTGGTTAAGTCACAATTTCCCCATCTGTGGAGTGTTCATAACATTGAAGAGAAAGCCATGAGTGGGGTTCACAGGTCTTGGGGTGCCGAAGCACTTCCAGGGAACGCCCTTGCTGATAACAGTGGTGACGTTTCTGCAAAGAAGACTGGGTTGTCTGGGTGTGCTGAGGTGAATGAAATTGGAGTGACTGACTACAGTCCTCTGGGGTCTGAGCATAGCTCCCTGGGAACCCAGTGGGAGTCTTTCTTGGGAGTCACTGGCAAGATAGGAACTCAACAATACAGGGGAATATCTGGAAAGGACTCTGAGGTGGGAGGAGGGTATCCACAAGGGAGCAGAAATAACACTTTAAGCCATGCATGGTGGTGCAAACACTCCAGAGGCTGAGGCAGGAGGATTACAAGTTTGAGGCCAGCCTGAGCCATATTGTGTCTGAAAAGGAAAGAAAGCTTTGAATGGTATCTTGACCCCAGGCCATAGGAGTGTAGGGGAGAGTCTTCACCCCAAGGTGGATAAAATCAGAACAGAAAGGTCTGGACAGGGACTCAGGGCTATGCCACATTAGATGGGCCTCCAGGGCAGCTGGCTGTCCCCATATGGTTGTCCCTTTCCTTCCCCATTAATCCACAGCCTCCCAGCAGGATTCTGCAGCCACTTTGGAAGCCCTCAAATGTCCAGGTGCCACCCAGAAGTCACCAGTGCTGGGTAGGGCTGTCAGTGCTTTCAAACACTGTCCACTGGCCACTTCTGAGGTGGGCCATGGGGCAGAAATAAACTCGTGCTATAGGCGTCCCTGTGCGGGGCCCCTCCTGAGCAGCAGGAGTGAGTCAGTGCTCAGCCACATGTAATTTCATGTGCTAAGACAAATGCACTCGCTGTGCTGTGTGTGGTAAACAGTGGGAAGGGCCCCCTTGCTTCCTTTGAGGCATTTTCTTTCTCCACGTTCATGACTGATCAGCTATGTTGGGTGGAGGGCTTTCCCAGCCCTCACTGTCTGGGGACCACAGCCCTGGATGGGCCACAGAATTGGGTCATCATTTGACAGGGCACCCCCTCCCAAAGCACCATTTTCTGTGGATTATCATTGCTTGGCAGCTTCCAGGCTCATTTGACCGAGTCCTAGTCATTGTCTACTTGAGGATACATCCATTCCTGGGATGTAGCTGTTGTAGGCTGAGTGTTTCACTAAGTGCCTGATATCTGCCTTGGTGTCCTGAAGAATAGAACTTCCATTTTTCCTTAAAGGACTCAGCCTTGTTCTTAGAATGACTAATTACAGGATGCTCTTGTTCATCTAATGTTAACAGCTGACCAGACCTCTCTGGCTGGGAACACAAGCTGTTCCAGGATTGACAAGACCATTCCTCAGGAGAGGCCTGAGCCCTTCCATCCCTCCTACACCACCACCCACCATCTGAAGAGGCATTTTGTCTCCTGGGGTTGTGGGGTTTGTGGTGCCCACCAGGGCTTCTGAGGGTCTAAGGCAGATCTGGGTGGCCATCTTCTACTCTGTCTGGAGCAGGCCTAGACATCTCGTATTTCTGTCTTCACGACCACATTTGGAAGTGTTGAGGTCAAGGAAATGGTCCTTTGTCCAGAACGAGGGCATCCCCCTGCTTTATTGTCCCAGCACTACACCCACGAGGCCCATTGCCATCCGCACTTTGAGGATTCTGTCCCAGGCACCTGCAAAAAGAAGTTGTTTGGAGATGAGCTAAGAGTTCGGTGGCCAAACTTCTGAGCTGCTGAGAGCAGCTGCGGTGGAGACCAGGTGTCGGAAGTGTGGTGGGATGGAGCGGGCAAGCAGCAGAGGAGGCAGAACTGCAGGTGGGGTCTAGTGTCCAACTTCTCCCAAAGGCCCTAGACCTGGGCCTGATGCCAATGGCCTGGAGGAGGAGCTGGGGACTTGGGGACTTCAGGGAGCCTGAGGGATCCCCAGGACTGTCACAGGTCTCTGCTCAATCTCAAACCCAGGCCAGTATCCTGCTCTGACTTTAGGTCTTACATCTCTGTTGCTGGTGTTGGGTCTGGAGTCCTAGACTATAGCTCAGGCAGGTCCTGTGTTCATGCCTCTAAGGGGTGTGCATGGAATGTACACATGTGGGGAAAATGGGTGAGCACACGTCCTGACAGCAGCAGAGCACGGGGGTTGGGGGTGTCTAGATCAGCCCTGACGAAGGCATGGGGATGACCCAGGCTTAGCTGAACACCAGCTCCAGCCCAGGACCAAGAAATATCTCTACTGTGTGCTCCACAGCAGTTACAACACAACGGCCAGGCCTATGCCTGGTCTAGCCTGGACTCCAGCCTCAGCACCCAGAGCACATGCTGGCCTTACATGGGTACAGAGAAAGTGACGGTCAGGAGGCCCTGACCATCTCCAGCCCAGTGCCCTAAGGCCTGGGCATAGTGTCCATTTACATTATATATGCACACACCGAGCCCATGTGCATACAAATACAGAGGCACACAGACATGAACACAGAGAAACATGTACACACAGACACATGCACATACACATGGAAGCACACACATGTGCATACCCAGAAACACATATGTATCTATAGATATGTTCACACAGAAATGTGCCTGGTCATGGTCCCTCATGGCCTTCTATCCTCACCTACAGAGTGCAGTTGACCACAAGGGAGCTGAGAGTCTGTGTCCTGATTCATCCTTTCCCTTAAAAAAGAGTCTGGGGCTTTGGGGCTGCGGGGCTGTGGGACCCTAGGTACTGACACTTACAGTGGATTATTGCGAGAGCTGAGAAATTTTTGTTATTACTGCACCTCCTGCAGTTTGAAAAATTTGCAAGCTAGAAAGTTGCCTCCTTAAGGCCGTAGTCTGCTGGCCTTAGCCAGAATTCCAGGGAAGATGCCCACCTGGCCCATGCTTAGCCCGAAGGTCTCCAGCAGTTACTACAGGGTCCTTGGAGTGGCTGGGCCAGGCTTGTCTACAGGATCTACTGGAACCAGTAAAATATTCTTCATCCAGGGCAATTCTTTGCTCTGCCACGAGAGTGAGTAGGTCAAAGCAGGTGCTCACACATAGCTGCCCCCCCCCGCCCACCTCCCGGGAGAAGAGTAGCGTGGGGAGGGGCAGGGAGCTGATTCCTGCAGCACCCTTTTAAGCCCTCTCTGGAGACCGCCCCACCCCACGTCACACACTAAAGCAAACTCCTGCTCTACAGAGTCAGGCGTGTGCCCATGGCTTCTGAGGGCTCCTTTTAATTTTTCTGCATTCCTGAGAATTCCATACGTTATACAATGAAATGTGGTCACACCCACCCCATCCCCCACGGCCCCAAGGGCTCCTTTTACCTTCACTTCATTGTTATTTTGGCTGAGGTCCCCTGCCTGTGTCCAGCCTCCCCTGCCTCACGTCTGCTCAGCTGTTCTCAGAAAGCCTCTCATTGTAAAGGGAAGGGTCCTCTTGAGGTCAGACCCAACTTCAGAGGCAACATCAGCCCTAGACAGGGTGCACTCTTCCCCCTAGGGACAAGAGAAGTTTCGACCCATGTGTGGAGAGGTGGTGCCCACAGCCCCTATCTCCAGTTCACAGCAGAAGCATCAATAGGGCATGGTGAGCCCCCAGGCTGCTCAGGGCTGACAACGGAGGGAGGGGCACCCGAGACTCCACAAGGAAGAAAATTGTTTCTGATGGAATCAGCCTTCGACCATTTCACTGTTTTGTCCTGTGGCACCAGGTGCCAGGTGGTGCCCAGAGACAACCCCCTCCCCCACTTCACAGGCGAGTCAAGGATGGGATGTCTGTGGCTTACTCTCACGGGGATCCAAGAACGATGTGGCCAAATGGAAGGAGACCCTTAGGGTAACAGGACAAAATGCCATCAAATGATCAAAGCAGGGCGGAGTCCATGGATCCGGAGAGCTCTCATTGCTCTTGCAACTTCTGCAGTCAGTGTTTTCGAGGTAGGCCGTTGCAGAAGGGGGAGTGGGCTCCTGGAGGAACAGACAATTCCAAGGAGGCAGAAATGGACCTGTGTGGCCCTGACCACCTCACGAAGGTGGGAAACAGTCCTGTGTGGTACATTTCTATGCTTCTGGGCCCCTGTCTATGGCCTGGCTGTGGTTTTCTCATCTGAAGCACAAGGACTTGTGCTGCTGACACAGTGAGGTTCCAGGCATTTCCTCTGTCTGAAAAGAATGTGTCATCTAGAAGGGAGGAGCTGAGCGTGGTCTTGCCTCACTGTGTAAACTGTCCTGGGGTAGCGCAGAGTGGGTGAAGGTGGTGTCTTGTGGAGAAGGAAAGGAATAGGTGTTGGGATTCCACTCCAATGTGATCCTGACACGAGGGACTGACACAGGTGGTGGTGGTATACCACAGCTGACATCACCAGGGAGAGAACTGCCTGGGTGTGCACCACCTCCCAGTAAGAATCGGGTAAAGATGT